CCAGTACGCGGCCTTGGCCCGCGTTGGCTCCCCGCTGGCCCTCGCCGATGTGCAAGCCCGAGTAGCCTCCCCCTCTCAAACCCAGCTGGGATCTTCCTCCCCGAAACGCTCCGGCATGACTGCGGTCCCGCAGCACTTGGGAACAACTTTACAAAGGACAATTCATGATATGGAACCGTATGGACAGCAGTATGAGATATACGAGAGGATGGTCCCGCCACGTCCAGACAGCCTTACAGGTTAGTAAAAAGGTAAAGATGCAGCTTAAAGCTTAGTATAAACCAGCCAGGGCAGAAAACCAATAATGCCGTTGTAGTTGTGTGTTGTAAGCTCTGCGGCATTAGGACACAGCTCTGGTGGGTTCTGCACATCGGTTGTGAATGCTCATGTCAAGCCGTACGTGTCAGTGACACTGTACACTCGCAGGAAGCACCAGTAGCCATCAGGAAGTCCTCTGCTGAGAGATTTAAGTTAAATGAGGCCAAAAGTAGTCCAAACTTGAGAGGGACAGATGAAGTAAAACTATTTGTAGTTGTATGTAATTAAAGATGCTACGCTTAAAGACCAAAGGAAAACGCATGGCACGTTTTATAGCTTGATTTCACAAAAGTTTTTAAAGAGCCAGTGTGGCTAAACTTTCCTGTGAGGGAGGATATCAAAAGTAAAAACACATGACTCAGAAAGGTAAAGTTTTGTGCAAATGAGAAGGAAGGAAAAGGATATAAGATGTTCAGCGAAGAGTGACAAAATGGGTTTAAGATGCAATTTGGAAAAGCAAATGTATGTCTGTTGCCAATGCAGACTTTCCATCTAGAAGCCTTCATCAGAGGGGCTGTGTTAAAGGATCTGCCCCCAGTTGCTACCAGACGCATCAGCAAAGCGCTTGGCAGCCGTGATGAGGACAGAAGATGTTCATCCACAAGTGCAAGGGCCGAGCTACTAACTTTATGTGCAGTGGTCCACCTGCAAGCTTTTGGTACTAGTACATTTCTAAGTTGACAAAAGCTTGCGATTTTGAGGAGAATTCCAGATCTACCTGGGAAACTCCAGACCAGTTAACTCAACATTTGTAACAGGCAGATTTGCAGAAACTGAAGGAGAGCGGAGTCGTTTAACGCAGAGATAAATATGATACTTTGGGGAGAGCTGAGTCAGCATGTTTTTAGGTAAGGGTAAGTCATGCCTCGCAAATCTGTTGCAGTTCTTTAAAGGAAGATTAATATGGTCTACTTAGAGTTCAGTAGAGTATTTCATTAAGACCCATCACAAAAAATTCTTTGAAGAAGGTAAGCTGCCATGGATAAGAAGTTGGTTGGAAGATAAGCAACATAGGGAAAAATGAATAGAAAGATTTTTTTAAAGTGAGGACATGTCACCAGCTGAGTCTGCAGGGCCATGTTGGGACCGGTGCTCCTCAGCATATTCATAAATGAAAGTAATGAACAGCAAAAGGACAGTATTTTTTGAGGACAGTATTTATGGTGACAAGAAATCATTTGATTTTATATAAATGTATCTTATAGAAATGTATGCCAGTCTGTATGTTGCTTTTAATGTGATGTTGTGGAGTACATGAGGTAGAGGAAAACTGCCATCCAATTGCAAAAGGTAAGGGGGAAAGGAGAGTTTAGTGCAGTTGCACCAGAGCAAAATATATCATAGGGTATTTAAACTTTTATAATGGCTTTGCTTCACCTCCTTAAATCTGTGCTGCCGTGGCTAGACCGCGCCTGCATGGCCCTGCTAGAACGGTGAGGATGCTGCAGTTGTCTGTAGGCAGGTGCCCTTCGGCCAGCGGGGCTCGCTGCGTCTGGGAGGCTCTGGGGCTGCCCTCCAAGATGTGCATCCCAATATTGCCTCTCTGGAAAGGGGGGAAGGCGTGATAGGCAACGGGGCAGCTTGTGCTGTTCAAGACAACTTCAGTAATCTACAAGGATTTAGTAAATGGAATAAAATATGTCCGCTTGCATTTTAACAGCTAGTAAAGTTAGTGGATGACTGAACTTCATTGTTAAATATAAAAAATACCATAATGATTTTTTTCCTCATAAAGTTATAAAAATCTCTTGAAGATTTAACAGGCCTGCTATCTTTTAATTGGCTAGAGAATTTTACAATTACATTATTAGAATGAATGTGTATAAATGATGAGATTTAAGCAACTGTCATGGTATTAAAGTGAAGAACAAAGCTGATTTTTGATGAAGTGGGTTGATCTTATCCCATTTTTAATTTTACTTCATTAGGAAAATTAAAGATATTGAAATAGCTGTGATTCCAAAAGTGCTATCTCTTTTGTAAGAGGTATTTACATCAACTTAATGCTCGGTTTTCTTCAAACTGGCTTGTTCCTTATGGTTTTAGTAGGCCTTCAAACCACATTCTTTACTGTCTGGTTCTAAAGGAATAGGTTGCCCTGGATTGGATCCTGCTCTTGCTTGAAGCTCTGAATTCATCACTTGTAGAACCTTGTAATCATCCTACCAGTTGATATCTTGGGTGTAACGTGTCTGCATTTCTCCTCAAAATGGACTAAATGTTCTGAATTAGTCTCTCGCTTCCTCTCGCTGAGGAACCCTCAAACTGAGAAAGGAAGAGCTTCAACTTTCTGGTGTTTTCAACACAAGACAATTGTAAGGACTGTTGTAGCTTGTAACTAGAGTATTATCTCTTGCATGAAGTAGGAAATTGGAAAAAGTTGCCCATCTCTTTGGCTTACTTACAGTTTAGACTGTATTTTGTCAAGATTGCATTAATGTTTAGAATTATCAGATCACATATCAGATCTCAGTAATAATTTTATTAATCAACTTCCAAAATTATGTTTATTCCTGGTGACATCTTGCAATAGCATTATATAAATTTTTTGTAATATGTTTAGTTTTAAAAAATCAATAATATATAAAAACAAACTTGTAATATATACATTTATTTTCTGATACATATTTAAGTTTTCAAATTTGATGAAATAGGAAAGCTTAAGAAATTTATTCTTACAGACTGATGGAATTTAGTAGTTTTAACAAGGGGGAAGGAGATCTGGCTCTGTGCTGTAATGCCTGTGTTTGGAACTAAGAAGGCTTGTTCTTTAAGAAGAGCTTAGCCGCTGCGCTTTGCTTCATCTGGCTGCTGATGTCTGCATAGATGACGAGCAGATTCCTTTAAATTGCAGATGGCTTCAGTAGTAATTCTCCATCCAGCAGAGCAAGCCTATCTTGCAGCGTCCCTGTATGTAGATAAATATTAACAGTCCTTTTTATCACCTGTAGAGAATTTGAGAAACAGAGGAGCAGAGGCACTGGTGGAGCTGAGACACCTCCTCACCTCTCACCATTAGACCCTGTAAGTTTACATTTGCACTCAGAATGCAAAGACATCCCTGTCTTATGCTGCTCAGGAAGTCGCAGAAAACCAATTCCAAGCGTCATCCGAGAGGTCCAGCCTTCAATTTCTGTTGTGTTGGTGCTGCCTAGTGTGTGGTGAGGCCAGACAGAGTCCTCTTTAAGACAGCTCCCCTCGTGGGTTCAGTCAGGTGGTAGGAGCAAATCCCCCGTCGTGCTGAGGCACAACCAGCCCAGCGCAGGCGCCTGCCCTGTGCTCCTCGGCCTCCCGCCTGGAGCCGGGAGACGTCGCTGTTCTGGTTGCAGGTTGCGCTCACGGGTCATGCGAGCAGTCTCCTTGCGCGGATGAGGCGTGCATGCGAACGACCCGCGCTGGTGCGGCGCCGGCGTTCCGTGGGGTGTCTGCGTGTCAGGCAGTTGGCTTGCGGAGCCCCGAGTGGAGGAACTGCCTTGTGGGCTGGAGCTGGGTCCATCGCCGCGGCCGCCTCAGCCCCAGGCCTTGCCCAGGCACCCCGAGTCGCAGAGGGTTGGTGATCTGGTCCAGCCCCCTGCTCGGACCGAGGCTGGCACAAGCTCAGGGGGGTTTGTACAGCTGAGGACCGGCCACCTCCAAGGTTGGAGACCTGCAGCCCTCTTGATGGGCTGCAGTCTGCGACCTTTCTGATGAAGAGACTTTCTCTGAAGTTGGACCCGAACTTTGCACATTGCAACTTGTGGCCGCTGGCCTGTGGTACCGTCTACCCCTGCAAGAAGTGTTTGGCTCTTATGCTACCTACTGCTTCGTGTTCAGGATTACTGCCCGCAGCTCGGGTTGCGCCTGTTTCACAGCGGGGTTTGTGTCGGGTTCAGGCGTCGGCGCCGGTGTGGCGAGCTGTGCGCGCTGCCTCGCTTTGCCCTTGCTGGTGTGCTGCAGCCATCTGCTCACCCAGAGATACTGT